TATGATTTCTTCATATAATGGGAGATTATTTAGTCATAAAAGGAAATGCTACAATGTGGAAGGACCACGAAAACTTTATGGTAAATGAAAGAAGGAAGTGAGAGTTGAGTATGGTGGTACACTCCTTGTATTCCTAGCTACTCAGGAGGCTGAGGCAGGAGGCCTACAAGTTTGAGGCCAGCCTGGGCAATTTAGTAAGACCCTGCCCCTAAATAAATAAAAATGGCTGAGGATATAGCTCAGTGCTCCCTGGGTTTTATTTCCAGTATTTAAATAAAAAAGAAAAGAAGTTTACTACAGGTAAATCCATAGAGACAGAAAGTAGATTAGTGGTTGCCAGGGACTCAAGAGTGAGTATGGGAAGTGACCACTGATGGGTACAGGGTTTCTTTTGGGAATGATGAAAATGTAGTCACATTCATTGTTGTGATGGTTACACAACTCTAACATACTAAAAACTATTGAATTGTTCACTTTGAGTGAGTTCTATGGCACATATATAAATTACTTAATAGGGATGCCTTCTGAGAAGTGCCATGTTAGGCAACTTCATTGTGTGAACATCATAGAATATTTATTCAAACCCACATGATACAGCCCAGCACCCCCTGGGCTATATGGTACAACCCACTGCTCCTCCATTGTTTATATGGTTGGTCAACGGCTGAAATATTATACAGTGCATGACTGTATGTGAATTATAGCCCAACAAAACTTTTTTCTAAAGAAAAGATTAAATTTACAAATAAAAGTTAAGGTCTTGTGGCTGGGGATGTAGCTCAGCAGCTCAGCACCTGCCTGGCAAGTGCAAGGCCCTGAGTTTGATTTCCAGTACCAAAAGCTTGCACATAGTAAGTAATCTTTACTGAAGTAGAATCACATATCTTGAAAGGTAATTGTATGGACCCATGTGGCCCCCTCGGGTCCCAGGGCAAATGCCAGCTGGGAGGCTAAGAACTCGCCCCAAGTGATTCAACTCAACCTGACCACACGCCAGACCCAGTCAGTTACCTGAGGGCTGGGGACTTCTCGAAGCCTGTCTAGACACAGCGACAGTAGGTCTGTCCTCCAGATGCCTGGGAAATTGTTCACGGCCTGTCTATTGCAGGTGGCAGTGGTGCTCTACTAGCTTGAGGAAAGATCTGCAAGCCCCAGGCTTTCACTGAACATCTCAAATGTGTACGATGTAAAGGTTGATTTTTTAAAACTTGACTTCAGCTAGAAACAATTCTGGGCTCTTCCTGGTGTCATTTATCCAGGACTCTGGGAAGTTGGAGGAGGGGACACACCTTCATTCTTACTCCTCACCACCTCTTGACCGCCAATTTTATGTCAGACCCTAAGCCAAGCTCACACTCACAACCTTCTTTTCAGAGTCCAGATTAAATATCCCAAAGCATCAGTAAAAGAGAATGCCAAGGCCTCTGCAAACCTAGCGGGATCCTGCCTTTCTCAACCTTCCTCCTTCCTGTATGAGAAGGCAGGGATGCCATGTCACACCCTTCCAGGGAACAATATTCACACTGTAGTTCCTGTGAATGCTGCCCTCCCCCCACAGTAGTTAGGCAGAAAATATCATTTATTTTCCTTGGTATCTTCCAGACAAGTGGTTAGAAATCAAAACTTTGGACACAGATGGTGGTAGGCTGAATAATGGCCCCAATTAGGTCCTCATCCTAATCCCCGGAACATGTGAATATATTACCTTACACGGCAAAAGGGACTTTCCAGAGGGGTTTGCAGATTTTTTAAAATAATTTAAATTAGTGCATATATTTAGTACATAGTGATTACATTCATCACTGGAGTTGGTACATGCGCAAAACACATCTTAATTCTTTTATTTAACCCCCTTCCCTCTCCATCTCTTAGTTGAGAGGGGAGATTGTTATGGGTTATGGGTATGGGCCCAGTTCCACAAGCATCTTTATAAGAGGAAAGAGGAAGATCCAAGAGTCAGAGAAGGAGATGTGGTAACCCATGTGTTGTAAGACTGGGAGCCAAGGAATTTGGGAAGCCTTTAGAAACCAGAAAAGGCAAGGACATACATTCTCCCCCAGAGCCTCCAGAAGGAACACGGCTCTGCCAACCCACTGTGAACTTCTGACCTCCAGAACCGTAAGAGGAAAAAAACTGAGTTACTTTGAACCATTAGGTTTGTGATAACTTGTTAAAGCAGCAACGGGAAACAAATACACATAGTGGCTTCCTCCTTTTCTTCTTTATCATCATCATCATCATCATCATCATCATCATCATCAGAGTGAATGTTGCCTGAGTTCACTGATGTTGTCTTTATTAATATTTGATCCCCGGTACCAAAAATAAAATAAAATAAATAAATGGAGGAGAGGATGCACCTTCATCCTTATTCCTCACTGCCTCTTAGTCAACAGTTTTATGTCAGACCCTCAAACCCTCATTTTACTGAGGCTCAGAAAGATTGTATAATAGAAATCCTTTTGTGGTTACCAGCAGAAAGTACTGACTGTAGCTAATACCAGCCAGGATCCCAGTGGGGAACATGGCGAGGGCTGCCCATGAGTCTTCCCAATGATACCTTGAAGGCCCACACAGCTTTCTTTTGAACTCCTAGTCTTTCATTAAATGGTTCTTGGGAGCCTTGCCAGGCCCTGTTCTAAGTGCTGAATGAACAGAAAATGAGACTCTATCCCTGCCCACGTGGTGTCACGATACTGACAGCCAAGTGTGAAAACACATTCATCAGAGCATCACCCTGCAAAATGTGCTAAGTGCTGTGGATAAGAAATAGCTTGAGAGCAAATGGTGGGGAAGTGAGGTAAGGCAACACTGGAGGGACAAGTAGGACTCAGTAGATATTAAGCGCTGGGAGAGAAGGGCGGCCTGCCTCCTCACTGGTGCCATAGATGACAATAGGACTTTTCCTCTGTTGGTTCCATTTCTGTATATTTAGTACCTGCTCCTGGGAGAGAACCGTGCACAGTACCACACGGCACTTCCTGGAGCACTTGAACTGCAACTTCACCCAACATATTTTATTATTATAATGTGCGTGTGTGCGTGCCTGCATGTGTGTGTGTGTGTGTGTGACCTAGCACCTCCTACATGCACGGCAAGCCCTCCACTGCTAAGCTTCATCCCCAGTGCCCTTTTAACCATTTTTAAGTGTACAATATGGTGGTGGTAATTATATTCACAGTGTTGTGCAACCATTCCCACTGTTTGCAGATTTTCTCTTGCCCCAAACCCATTAAGCTTCATACCCATTAACCAACAACTCCCCATCCTCCTCTCTCACCAGGCCCTGTTGGCCCCTAATCTCCTTTCTGTCTCTGAATTTGCCTATGCAAGGTACCTGTCTCGTAAAGTGGAGTCATACAGTATGTGTCCTTTGGGGTCTGGCTTATTTCCTTTAGCGTGTTTTCAAAGTTCAAGGCTTGTGGAAACTTCATTTCTTCTTAAGGTTGAGTAATACTTCATGGTACAGACCACTGTGCCAGTCTCATGGAGCACATGAGTAATCCTAGCTATTCAGGAAGCTGAAGCAGGAAGATCACAAGTTCAAGGGCAGGTGAAGCAACTTAGTGAGACCCTGTCTCTAAATAAAGTCAAAAAGGCTGGAGCACTCAGCACTCCCTGGGCTCCATCCCCAGTACTAAAAAAAAGAAAAGAAAAACAGATCACCATAAGTCCTCACCCAGACATAACCCCAGGCCCTTGGGTAAGTTCAGGCTTGGGACATGTTCCTGTGCTCGTTTCTCCTCCGTTTCTACACCGGCATCTTTCCTTGAAGATAAGGCACTACAGAGAAGCAAATTGTGCAGCCAAAGCTGGCCAAGGTATCATGAGGACCCCGGATAAGGGGAGCAGAAGAGAACGGGGCACAGAATTCCAGGTGTATGCCAGGCACCATCTGTGCTCACCTCCTTGGGAAAATGACCAGAAACCCACAGCTCTCCAGCCCAGGACCAGAGCAAGGAGGCCAGTCCTCCTGCCTCCTCAGGGTAGGTACGAGTGGCGAAAGCAGGCAATGTCAAGAAAACACAGGCCTGAGGATAAGTGGGAAACACGGGAGAGGCGAGGGGAGTGGTGAGGACTGTGGAGGACTGGACAGAACACAGCTCATCAGCACATGGGAACACGAACACAATGGTGCCGAAGCTTTCTGTCAAAAAAACTGGGAATCTGGATTTTCATGTGAACTGGGCCCATTTCCAAACGCAAGCAGTTCATTTTAGAATGTTAAACGTCATGCAGCCAAACAAAACATGCCAGGTGGCTGTATGCGATCCAAGGGCAGCAAGTTGGGGACCTCTTTTAGAGAGCTGGTTACTGTGAAAAGAGATGAGCTGCAGGACCTCACTCCTTACTCTCACTAGAACCAAAAGCTCATAGGAGAGGACAGGGCTCCACAGGTGAAGCGCAGACTCCCCTCTTCCCATTTCCTGTGCAGCTTGAGAGTATCGCTTTCCTACCCCAAGATCCGTCCTCAGCTGTGGAATGAAGGGTAGACCACACGTCCCCTGAGTCTCCTCCATCTCTGCTGTTGTAATATTTGACTTCCTTTAAGACTCTGGCCCCAAAAGAACCCGGGGACAATGTTTTGGGATTTGGAGAGGTATTTTATTTTTAATTGACAAATACTAATATATACTTTATATATTTATGGGGCACAATGTTATATTTGATAGAGGTGTATATTAGGGAATGGTTGAATTAAGCTAAGTAACATATTCGTCACCTGACACATTTGGTTTTGTGGGGTCTTTCTTGTATGTGTGGGTGTGTGTGTGTCTGTCTGGTACTGGGGACTGAACCCAGAACATTTGCACTGAGCTGCCTTCCAACACTTCTAAAACTTTTAATCTTGAGACAAGGTCTTGCTAAGTTGCCCAGATTGAGTTTGAGCTTGTGACCCTGCTGCCTCAGCCTCCCAGAGTGCTGAGACCATAGGCATATGCCACCATACCTGGCTGGGTTTTTCTTTTTAATTGCAGCAAAATATGCACATAACTTACCATTTGTGGCACTCCGTACTTTCACAATGTTGTGCAGCCATCACAATCTAGCTACAGAATATTCTCATCACCTCCAACAATCTGTCCTGGCCCCAAGTTTCAAGGAAAAGTCAGGCTCTTATGATTCAGAAATGTGTTCCTATAGGGAAAAAGAAATCAAAACCCTTGTAGGTGGGTTGCAGGAGGTAGAAAAAGATGAGAGAGATGCAGCTCACCTGCCAGAGACGTCAGTGCCCCGGGTCTTTAGGGCATGCAGCATAACCAGCTGATGCCACAGCCAGGGCTGGCTCTGCTGTGCCGAGATCTCACAAGGACCTCGATATCATCCGAGCACAGATGACCCTTGGTGCCTCAGCCTCTGTTATTTTCCATTCTGATAGAAAGCATTTCATTCTACGATGCCACATGGAGAGCTTCCAACAAGAAAGCCTCCCTGGGCAGCACAGCTCCCCCATAAACGTAGGTAGAAAGGACACAAAGAAAATCATAATTTTAAAATTGTACCTTTTTTTTGAGACAGGGTCTCATTATGTAGTTCAGGCTGGCCTTTAACTCTCTATGTAACCCAGGCTGGCCTCAAACCTGTGGCAATCCTGCCTCAGCCTCCTAAATGCTGGGATTATAGGTGTACACCATCACGCCTGGCTTTGAAATTGTACCTTTAAGAAAAACTGCAGCTTCAGGACACAGCTACCCAAAGTAACAATGTCTTTTTCCCTTCCAGGAAACTCACTCAAAAAAAATTCCTAAGCTTTTTTTCTTTTTCTTTTTGTACCAGGGATTGATCTCAGGACCTTGCGCTTGTGAGGCAGGTGCAGTGTCACTGAGCTAAATCCCCGGCCCATTCCTAAGGTCTTAAAGATAAAGTAAGCCTGTAAACTGGGCCTGTGCTTCCCCTCCTTCAGGCCTCCATCATCAAGGCAGCGGCACTAGTAAGTGGGCAGCTGCATGTGTTTGAAATCTCTCTAAACTTCAAACACATGCAGTGGTTTGCATTCTAACCCGGCCCACCAAGTGGATGGCCTGATAGACAATGGGAGTGCACGGGCTAGATCATCCCGAGGTCCCTCATTCTATGCTCTGTTCCCCCTGAGTGTGTACTTTAATTCTGGGTAATGGACCGGTCTAAGGCCTCTCCGGGATGTGTTCTGCAATGCCTTTCTGTAACCGAAGCCGGGGAACCTGCAACCTAGCCAGGGGACAGGGTGAGTCAAGGTCCCCATCTCCTCTTTCGGGTTCCTTCTTGGGCCCTTCCAGTGACATTGTAACCTTGAGTAACAGTGTGGCCTTCCTGGGGCCCCTAGATCAGCTGCACTGTAACAGCAGCCCAGGGGTGTCTCACTTAGCGGGAGGTGAGCAGCACCCACCCCCAGCCTTCCTCCCTTCCCGAGGGATGTTTGTGTGGCCAGCAGGAGTGAAGTGACACCAGGCAAGTCTGTCATTATGCTAATTGCATCCGCTGGTGGGAATGCCAGGCCTCTGCTGAAAAGCTCCTCAGGGATTTATATGGTCTGTCTTCTATGTAATAATCCTGCAGGTAGATGGAAGTTTTTCATTTGGCAGAATGGAAAATTGATTTTGCCCCAAATTGTGGAAGAATTGCTGATCTGTGAACTTCTGAATTCTGTGGAGACACTGGCCTACTTGTGACAAAGAGCAGTGCCTGAGCAGGAGGGGAGAGGACCAACCTTCTATTCGTGGGGTTGCACAGGCCGGCACCTCCTCCTCATTGTTTGGTCGTGGAATAAGTCAGCGTTCCCACAAGCAGAGAGGACAGTGAAGCTGCTGCCAGGCACTTAGGTCTATGCACTCACCACTGCCGGATCGAAGGCGGCCATTTATTGTGATTAAAAAGGAAAAGGGATTTATTCAAAGCTCGCTCTGAGGAGAGGAAGGGGCCTCCCTACACAAATCACCATCTCCCCGCATAGGGGAACCTTAGGGTCTTTTACAGCCAGGCACAGTGGTGGAGGGGAGACAACGGACATGTCCGGGCTTGTCTGTCTCTCCTGAACCCAGACCTCGCCCTCCCTTGCTGTGGAAAGAGACTGGGTTTTGCCTACTTGGTGCGCCAGCATTTGCATACTCTGTCCATTCATCTGGGTGCGGGAGACATGGGGATGGCGGTTTATGCCCAAGGCCTGAGGAAGTTTGAAGAGGCCACTGGTCTCCAAAGGAAAAAAAAAATCTCACTTCAAAAGTTCTATTTTTCCATTTTTCATATCATAAATGTGTTTTCAGGATCTAAATCTCTCTCTTTCTAACCCCCCCCCGATAATTTCTTAATATCATCAAATATTCTGTTAGGATTTAAATTTCTGTGTCTCTCTCTTTCTCTCTGTTCAAATCAAGATTCAAATAATGTGCACATACCGCAACTGGTTGAGGTGTTCTCGAATGTGCTGGGATGGCCTCCCTCTTCACATTTGCATCTCCTCTCCTCCTTCCCACTTCTCTGCAGACGCTCTGAGTCATTTACCCTAAGGTTTCCAGTGTGATCACTTCTCAGTCCCCACAGTGCTCTGTATTTCCCATGGATTGGCAGCTGGATCTACAGGCCTGTTTATATTTAACGTTTTTGCTGACAGACTATTTTAAAAGTGGTGCTGAGTCTTCCTCACAGACAGCCCTCAGCTGACTGACTTTCAGCGGTCTGCAGCCATTGATATCAAGACCCATCAGTTCCTCACAGGTGCTTCTGTGTCTGTATTTGGTGAGGTGCCCAACCCTCCTGGCTTACATGGTATTTCCCAGGTTTTATGGTATTAAGTTTCACAGCCCGGGAGACCTCTCAACCCCAGGAAAACCAGGACAGTTAGTCACTTGGGAAGCTAAGTTTTCAGTATTCTCCCAAGGATCCTTTTCTCTCATGTGATTCTGGGCAGAGAAGTCTGAACACTCTGTGGATCACAAATCAGAGAAGGCAGGGGTAGGGCTGCAGTACTGAAGTAGAACGGGTGGCCTAATGGGACAGGAAATGTGAATTCTCAGTCCTTAATTCAGGACCTGTTAATAGAGGTGGATGTTACTATAATCTCTGTATGGGCCAAGCTCTGCCTTAATCTCTGTGTGAGCCCAACTCGTAGTTTTATAAACAAAGAGGAACGAAGTCACAAACCTAAGGAGGAAGTTATGAGATTTTCGTTGGACGTAATGAGAAGAGAAAGCTCGTAATAGAGGTCTGTTACCAGGGGATTCCAAGAGGAAGTCCAATCAGGGGTCTCTGTCTTGATCTTACAAGCGTACGCAGAACACAGGAAGGGGCTTGAACTCAAAACGTTCAAAAGAAAACTGATCCTCAAGCTGAAGTCCCTTATCTGTTTTCTCTTTCTAACTCTGTCTGATAAATCTGCCTACACTTCTCACTGACATGTCTGGAAATTCCTACAAATCTAGTATTCCATGGGATAGGAGGCAGGTTGGGGGTCTCTATCTTCTCTTTGGGTCACCTCCTCCAGTTGGGTGAGATGCTAATTTCATGATTTCCGTCTGAATTGATCTGAAGGGAAAAGAGGCACCCAGTGCTTTCTTACCCAGCATCCTTCCCACTTTCTGACAGTACCCTGTCTTTTTTAGCCCATGTGTTTCAAGGTCACCAGTGACAGTCCCAGCCCAGGAATGAGCTTCCCCCTTCCAGAATCCCTAATCCCATTTCCCAAGCTACAGCATGACCCAGTGAATACCAGGGTGATTTGCTGGGGATGTTTTGGGAAACACTTTCTCTTTCTTTTTTCTTTCTATATAGTATACAATTTGACCATTTTAAGCAGATAGTTCAATGATTTGTGGTAAATTTAGTAAATTGTGCAGCCATCACCACAACACAGTTTTACATTTTCATCATCTCAGTAAGGTCCCTCACATCTGTTTATAGTCAACTCTATTCCCAACCCCAGCCCCAGGCCACCACTACTCAACTTTCTGTCTCTATGGATTTGTCCCTTGCCTTTTCTGAACATTTCACACAGATGGCATGGCACAATACTTGGTCTTTTAGGACTGGCTTCTTTGCCTTGGGTGTTTTGAAGGTTCATCCATTTTGTAGTTTAAATGAGTTCTTTATTCCTTTGAGCTGCTCAGTAGGATTACATTGCATAGCGAGATCACACTGTTTTCATGCACTCATCAGTTGAGGGACCTATGGACTGCTGCTACTTTTTTGCTATTATGAACAAGGCTGGTGTGAACATTCCTGTACAAGTGTTTGTGTGGCTATTTGTTTTCATTTCTCTTGGTCATAAATATCTAGGAGTGAAATTGCAGGATCGATTTATGTTTACATTTTTTTTAATGGTGCCAAAAGTTTATTTGAAAAATTCGGGGCAAACGAGTATGGGAGAAACCAGCTCTGGAGAGTGAATCGGTTCAAATAAAGCAGAAAAAGGGGGTAAAAGCAAAAGTGAAACCACATACCTCTCTGAGAAACTCTGTGCAGGCTACCCTGCACTCAACTCACTATTGCCATGTTTACATATTTAGTAAACTGCCAGAAGTATTTTCTAAAGTAGCTGGACCACCATTTTTCATTTCTCCAAGCAATGCCTGACTGACAGTTCCTGTGTCTCCCCATTCACACCACTTGTTATTTCATCTTTTTAATGATTGCCATCCTAGTGGATAGGAAGTGGTTGCTCTCACTGAGGTTTTAATTTGCATTTCTGTAATGATGAGTGTTGCTTTAGCACCTTTTCATGGAAACATTTTCTCACTCTTTTTTTAAAATTATTGCCCAGGTTGAGCTTGAACTTGGGATCCTCCTGCCTCAGCCTCCCAGAGTGCTGGGATTATAGGCATGCACCACCACACCCAGCATAGGGATTTTAATCTTTCAAAGCTGTGATTTTCAATTTTTCATTTTATTTTTTAAATTTTACTAGTACATATTTGCCATACATAATAATCACATCCATCATAGGGAATTTGTACATGTACATAATGTATCTTAATTCTTCTTTTTTCCTATTACCCTTCCCTCCCTTCAACCCTTCTCCTCTCCATTTACAAAAGCTTTGTTTCCATTTTTTTCATGTTCTCACTCTTAAAAGCAAAATGTAAGGAAACAGCAGTCTTTCTTCTAAACTAAGGTGAAGCCCAGGAGCTTCCCATGATAGGAGGACAGAGCAGAGCTCAGAGAACTGCACAGGAGCAGGTTCAGAGCCCTGATGAAATAGTACCTGACGTCCACCCATTCTCTAGATTTTTCTCATTTGTAAGAGCCAATAAATCCTATGAATTGTTTCAACAAGCTTGAGTTGTATTTTCTGTTACATGCAGTTTATTGACCATAATGGAGAGAGTCAAACTTGTATCTGTGTTCAATGGTATTTTGTTGTCGGTGTTTGTATTTTGTTTTGTTGTATGTGTGGTGCAGGAGATCAAACCTAGGACTTTGAGTGTGCCAGGCAGGTACTCTACTACTTAGTGTAACATCCCAGCACTCCACATGATATTTTATAAGGACACCCGTCCTAATAATCTCATCTTAATTTGACTATATCTACAAAAACTCTTTCCAGATAAAGCCACATTCACATGTACTGGGGGTTAGGACCTCAACGTATCTTTGGGCAGACACAATTCAAACCATAATAATCATAATTGAGTAGGGTTTATCTCAGGAATGCAAGGATGGCTCAACATAAGAAAATCTACCATCATAACTCACCACTCTGAAAGGCTAAAAGAGGTAAATCATATGATTATCATAATAGCAAAGAAATCCCTCTTCCAGAATCATGCCATGAAGCACTTACATCCCACAAACCCTTCCTGAGTGGCTACCATGTACTAACCATGGTGCTAAGTGCTCTTCTTATATGGCACTCTGGGACTCTCACTGCAATTTATGCTGTGATGATCCCCATTTTATAGACACAATACCATAAAGTGTGCTTCCCCGCTGTGAGCCACGTGGCATTGAAGCTGGGACTTTTCTCCTGGAAAACCAAGAGGCTTAGTTCTGCCAGGAGCCTCAGAAACAATGTGTCTGCTGATCTGTGTTAAGGAGCCCTGAGGGCATCGTTCCCACTCAGTGTGCCAAGATGCAAGGGTCAGCAGAAACCAGGCCTGGAAATCAGAGAAGAGGAAGACTGACAGGCTGTGGTGATCACCAGTGTCTTCTTTCTTGTGAGAATTCTTGTTCCAGGCAGAACCCCAGCTTTGTTATTACTAGCACTTGGATCCCCAGCTGGATGAGGTGGCTCTGTTTGTGTCTTCATCTGGCAGATGACTCAGCTACAGACTAAGAAGCTGATTGCACCCTGAGCACTGTGGGGAGGAACTGAAACTGGTGATCCAGCTGCTCTAGAGACACCGGGAGCCACCCACACACCATGGAGAGAGCCCAGCAAACTCTGGGACCCACTCTGAATGACTGCTATTCTAAGGCTCTGCTCTGTGCAGAACTCTGACCTAGCAAGACCAGTACACTTCCCTGATTTTCAATCTTCTCAATCTACTACAGAAACCTCAGTTCAAATCCCAGCTCTGCCTCTTTCTTTCTTTCTTTCTTTCTTTCTTTCGGGTTTTTTTCTTTTTTGGTTCTAGGGATCAAACTTGGGACCTTGCTCTTGCTAGCCAGGCACCAGAACCACTGAGCTAAATCCCTGGCCCTTTTTCTTTTGTTTTTTTGTTTTGTTTTGTTTGGGTCTTTTGAGACAGAGTCTTGCTATGTAGCCCAGGCTGGCCTCAAACTCACAGTGATCCTTATACCTCAGCCTCCTAAATGCTGGGATTACAGGTGCGTGCCACCATTCCTGGCTTTTTCAGTTTCTATTAGTATGACCTCTAGCAACTACTGAACCTCCTCCTAAGCTTCAGTTTACTCATCTCTAGAATGGGACCAGTGAAGGCTGGGGATTTAGCACAGTGGCACCACGCCTGCCTTGCAAGTGCAAGGTCCTGAATTTAATTCCTGGTACAAAAAAAGAAAAAAACTATTGGACCAATAAAAGTAGCAGCTTCATAGGGTTGTTATGAAGAATAAATAAGGTGATCCATGCCAATGCCTGGGCATAGTCCCTTGGATATAGGACTGGAAATCAGCAAAGAGGAAGGTTGACAGGCTTTGGCTCTTACTGGTGTCTCCTCTCTCATGAGAACTGCATTACATTACATGTTAACTACATGTTAGCAGGTACAGTGGTGTTGGTTATTGTTTTTATGATTACCATTGTCCCACCTTAAGATACAGCAGAAGAATAGCTAGCAGCAACAGGTTTCATGGAACTGTTCACTCCGAGAATCCTTTAATGGTCATCTATCTAGTTCAGTCTCCCAGTTGGTGTCTGAGCAGGCTGACCCCAGATTATCTACAAACACCATTCTCTTCTATCAGGTAATGCATTCCATCCTTTGGGTTGTTAGAAAGTTCTACTTTGTAGCAAAGGACAGTTACAGTTGCTGAATACTTTCTATTTTTCCATTCAGTTCCACTCTCTACCTACACTATCCTGCTTCCTGCTTCGGGATGCTGACCGATTCGCACTTCCTCACAGGGATTGATCCTTGCCCTCTTCCTTACAGCTGAGTTCAGCCAGTAGGAGTTCTAAACTGGCAGAGGAGAGCCCAAGAGGGAAGAGGCTGGGGGTTAATATCCTTGCTCCCCATCTGCCAGGCTCTGGCCACATTCCTCTACTGCAGACCACAGCTCATGTGGGACAGCCCTTGTGAAGTGAGTTTGTTAGTAACATTGAAAAATTGGGAGATTTTACATTTTTACAGTCTAGA